GTTGCCAGATTGGGTATTTTTTTTCGCAAGATTGTGTAAAAAATAACTGTTCGCGAAATATGAAATTCTTGGAGAAATGTGAAATAAAAAATCTTGTACCACCTAGTCACTTCTATCTGTTCTCTTTAAGTAAAGGATAGGTCTATAAGAGATTGCCTTATCAATAAGACTGCCTTTTGTACCTTTATGTCTATATTTTGATCTTACATACTGATCTTACATACTTTGAACTTTTAAACTGTATTTTACTTTCTAATTATCATTTTAATAACACTTTCATCCAATTTGCCGAATCTGAATCGTGTCGAAATTCTTTACATTTTGCTATGTAACCACAAATTGGAGAACGAAAAAAAAACCGTTTCTTTCGTTTTATGCTTTATTTATTTTACTCTCTGTTTTATTGTTTTTGCATTTTATTGTATTTTTATATAATAAAAGTAAAAAAAATTAATAAAAGAAATATTGGTCAAATTTCGCTAACTACATTTATATATTAAACACCAAAAACATGTCCATGGTACTGCTTATGTCTATAGGAAACGGTTACCACTTTCCATCAGGTGGGCCGTTAGCTGGTTTGCCATTCTAAGTTGTATAAAAAAAAAATCTCTTTTTGATAAAACACTTAACAGTCTACAGACAGATAACAGAGTTCTAGATATACACTTTTTCATTCAAAATCTTTTGGACACTGCAGTTTCAGTCAATGTTTTGTTTGGTGTCTTTTCATCTCGTATGCAGTTTTTATCATGATCATGCTCTATCACTTTATTATCATTTGATTTGAGTACAAAACTTACTCTATTTTCACGACTCTGGTTTGATGATGCTAGTTGAAGGTAATTGGCATCAATAATGATGGCCTATTACAAAACAATATTACCTTCTAATTAGTACCAGACTAAATTAATCCGCTAAGTGAATGAAAGCTCAGAATACTTGAAAGACAATGGGTTTAATTGTAAAGCCTAGATAAGTCAAGAATCTCATTAGTGGTCGACCTCAATCGAAGTAGGGTAAGCGGACCAGTTGTGAGCACAGCGGTAATTACAGCGGTTTGTGCTTATTATGCGTGACAAGTGTATTTATAATTAAATATCGCTATCTATTCTACTTAATAGTTCTTTTGACAGATTTATTTAAATACTAGCTTTTACCCACAACTTCGTCCGAGTGATCAAGAAAAGTGAATTATCCGGGATAAAAAGCCCAATTGATGCCAAATGCAGGCTAAAGTGGTTTCAGCAGATATTTTATCATCATCATCATCGTCCTTAACTGTTCATTGCTGAACATAAGCCTCCCCATAAGGAGGATTTTGCCAGTAGTTGCCACGCTTGGCAGGCGAGTTAGCAACCGCAGTTAGAGTTTTCATGATGTTTGGTCCATCCCTGGAACTTTAATTTCCTTTAATCACCCCTTACAATACCCATGAGAAAGAAAGGAGTGGCCTATTCTATGCTGGGACCACATGGCTAGATTTTTCATAATATTAAAAATCTTGGATTTTAATTCTTGCTTCACTTGCTGCAGAGTTAGTATTTAAAAAAAATCTAATATTATTTCACTTTATAATTTACGATACATATATGAATTAGTGCATACTATTAAAACCCATATTTCATTATCAAGAAGGAAAAAAGATAATGTCACTTGACTAAATATAAAAATATCATATATTATATATATTAGATTATATTAAATACAAGCATTCAAAATATATCATAACAATATTATTAATTCCATACTAAATCTGAAAACCTAGTATGTGAAATGTAAAAATCACAGTCCTGTTGATTTTGTTAACTTTTTTTTTTACAACTTAGAATAGCAAACAAGCTGACGGCCCACCTGATGGAAAGTGGTAACCGTCGCCTATATACATGAGCAGTACCATGGACATAACAGAGTATACTGTTTCGGCCATGGTACACCCCATGCGTTACCATTCCTGAGGACTCAGGTGTTATTCCTCTGTACCTAGTAAATTCACGCCATATCCCACCCTTCAAACCGAAACACAGCCATGCAAACACAACTGCTTTACGGTTGAAACACGAAAGGGACAGAGGTACCCAAGCAATCGACTTTTGTACAAAGTCTCCCTCTAGTTAACTCCAAATATAGAATAATTTTCCTTATAAATCACTATATACAGTATTAACTTTCGCTTGTCTAATAAAATACGAGTTAACATTTGGAGCTATCACCCTATTTCTTTTGTGCGAGTACAATAATCTCGCGTGTAGTAAGATCTAGTGGTGCCGTCGGCATGCGGCCGGTATTAAATTCCTTCACAGTATAAAAACCGAGCAGACGCGCTACATTTAGTTGCCGAAACATTTAAACAGGATAAAAGTATAGGAGACTAAATGTCGCGTACTTGCGCGAAATCGAAATGGTTGGCATCCTTTTTATTTCTTTGATTTTACTGTGTTTTTTTATTCACTACCAATGACAAATATTCAGTGATATATTTTGCCAAAGAATTTGGACTAAAAAAAAACAACAAACATTTCAATTTTACTGCTAATTTAATAGTTGAACGCGCATTTTCAATAAGACTTGAAATATTTTATTGCTTTATGAGCCATGTTTCATTGAAAAAATATTTCCTTTCACTGGTAACATTATCTTAAACGGATATCGATTATACGCTGTATAAAATATATACTTCCTAGTGCTATAAATATGAAAGTATGTTTGTTTGTTTCAATACCTTTTAATGCTTCATTAATTGTAATAAAAATATGGTTATAATTTTGCAAGTAGCAATACAGCCCCAGTCTCCTGGATACCCAATTGCCGGCAACCCCAAGGAAATTTTCTACAAATATATAAAAATCTTTTAATGCAATTAATACCCCAAGTCTTGCAGGCATCCATAGCCTACGGTAACTGCTTACTATCAGATGGGCCGTATGCTTGTTTGCCACATCAGTAGTATAAAAAAAAACTTAATACCTGGTAACAATTTTATTATACTATTGTAATTATCACTTCATAGTTGGTTTGCTCATCGCTCGTGTGCATTAATCCTGTCTTACAGAGGTTTGTCAATTTATATCCAAGTAAAAGGATTTTTATATTGATTTTATTGGGAGCAACATTTTTATGGTTTACTTGGCATAACTTATTTTGTTTGTTAGCATTTTTTAGATTTTATATAAGAAACTCAAGAAAGGAAAATATTTGTAATTCTACGATGTTTTTTCCTTAGTTATATAAAGTGACCTTGTCTAGTTTAGATAATACTTTTCGGAACCGCCAACAATATTTTTTATAAAACAATATCTTAGTAAATATTATTCTAGCATGAGATCTATAACTAGACATTAAGTCGATTAATAAAATGAAAAACTAATAATTTCGAATTCATATATCCATGATCACTTTCTTATATTAAATTTGGGTACACAATTAATCACAAACTCTTACTAAACGATCTCATCCTCATCTCATTAAGTGACAATAAAGCCTAAGCCTAAACACACAAACTCAAATATTTCCTATTCACTCAACAAATATAGATATTTTTGGGTATTTTCTTGAAATTTACATGGAGATACTATGTGAAATTTCAAACATGATGGTGAGGTGAGAAACGCCGAAGACGACAATGTAACAGCCCTTATCGGCTCCGAAACAGTAAACACATGCTAAATGCGTACACAAGAACAGCAATTTACCCTTAAAGGCTAACGAGCCATAGAAACAGCGGTGATGTTCCGTAAGTAATTTCAAAGTTATGAAGGACTAGCTATTTTCCGCAGTTTTGATTTTCATACATAAAGTAATCCATGTGATAAGTTAAAATCTAAACTACCATTATTTTTTATGCCACTTACAATGGCAAACAAGTTGACGGTCCACCTGATGCAAAGTGGTAACCGTCGCCTATAGATATGAACAGTACCATGGACATAATAGAGTATGCTGTTTCGCCCATGATTCGCCCCATGCGTTGTCATTCCTGAGGACACAAGTGTTATACCTCTGTACCCTGTAAATTCACTGTCATATCCCACCCTTCAAACCGAAACACAGCCATGCAAACAACTACTTCACGGTAGAAATACGAATGGGAACGGGATAGAGGCACCCAAGCAAACGGCACATCTCATTGAAATCCGTTATAACATTTATGTGATTAAGTAATAAATATTCAAAAATCTTTATATTTACAATATTAGTAAGATAAGATCATTACGTGTCTGAATTAAAATATTTCGTAAATTTATTGAGCTATTAAAGTTTTAATTTACTCGTAAATCGCCAACAACGCTGAAACTCTGACATGTTTTTTTTTTCAAAGTTTATACTTCATATTCATAATAAAATTTGTAACATTAAACATGTTTTGTGTCACTGAGAAGTTTGTAATAATTAAAATAAGTAGTTATCAATCAATTGTAATAAAATATAATTAATTAATTAAATAGTATTTACGTACGTGTTTTTTTTTTATATTTGCAATTATTATTTTCAATTATATTTATGTGTTTATTTGATAGATATTGTAAGTCATCTAAATCAGCGTAACAACACATTGCTGTCTCACTGTCATGACTTTTCCTTTTCTAGCAATGGTTTATTGTGTTATTTTTTTCCCGTAATCGCCTCTCACGACTTTTGGGATATGAAAAATAGTAGTACCACATTATGACAGTATCTATTCTATTTTTTGTATCTCTTCTTTACAACTATGATCGCAAACAAACATAAGGCTCGTCTGATGGTAAACAAGGTTACTGTAGCCTAGAAACGCCTGTAACAACAGGAATATCATGTACGCGTTGCCAACCTTTAAAAAACCTTAATACGCCTATTTTGAAGAACCCTATGTTCTGTCTCTAGGGAAAGCCTCAGTAGGAAGATCATTTTTATTCTGCAATTTAGCATTAATTTCTTGCATTTGATAGCATTTACTTCTGTTAGTCTCATACTACACAATACAATTATTTATTTATTTAGCACTTTATTATATACCAATATTATGCAATAATTAATAAGTAATTTACCTTAATTAAATTCAACATTTTTTCGGAACAAAAATTTGAAATTACATTAACAACTTTCTTTTTTAGTGGCCACACTAAACGATTTTTCGGAAGCTGATATTAAATCCAATGTACGCCCCTTTATTGTGACTTTTCTGTACGCGTTCCGTGTCATATTAACTCGTAAAAGGACGCCATCAAACTCGATATGCGACAGCGCGCTGTTAGAAACTTAATAAGAGCACCTAAAGAATATTGAGAATTATAACATGATTTCAGTTAACATAATTTTGTACAGAAGACTCCCTTGTTTACTATACGAGGCTTCATCGGTACAAAATAAATGTGAATAAAATGTTTGTTTGGAGAGTCAAATATTTGCACAATGATGGTAATTCAGCTCTTATCTCTCTTGCTCGTTTCTCTTGTTTGCTGGAAACCCTTTTGCTCGTTTTTTTTTTTTTCTATAAATAGCAACATAGATAATTTGTCAAATACTGCAGAAGTTTGTTATTAGAACAGAAAAAAATAATCCTGCGTTCTAATTTTGAATATAAGTGGCAAAAGAAAAAAAAAACGAGAAACAGTCCTAAATAAATGAGATAACTTTATTAATTGTATTCTTTTCTTTTATTTTTAATTTTACAACCGGCCAGAAAACTGAATCTACTATAATATAATTTAAAACGAAACGTTATTATAATATAATTTATAATCACTATGTATATATAAATTATAATTAAATACTAATGTGTAATTATAAATATTAAATACAAAATTACTCAAAATTTTATTCGACTCAAACCCATGATCTTTCTGGTCTGTCATGGCATTATGCGTAGATTTCTAAAATTCACAAACTTAGTTTAATTTTTTGTATTGCCCTCCAAAAGTGCACTGTCCCCCTTTTCTCATATTTATTACATATTTTTTGCATCTCTTTTGATAATTTTTATATTTATCGGATCAATGGATCTCAGAACCAGATCACCAGAAAACCTAATTTCTTCTGGTTTAGTTATTGCTTCAAGTTTGTAACGGCGAATCACTGCTGACGTTGCTGATTTCATTTCCATCATTGCATACTTTTGACCTGAAAATAATTTTTTTGTTCTATATTCTTATAGCCATGTGGTCCTGGCACAGAATAAGCCAGCCCTTCCTTTCCTATGGGTGTCGTAAGAGGTAATTAACGGAACTGAATAGTCGAGGAATGGGCATAAGCATCACTTTTAATACATCACCAAAGCCTAACTGCGGTTGCTAACCTACCTGCCAAGCGTGGCAAATATTGACAGAACCCCTCTTATGAGGGAGGCCTATTTTAAAAAGTGGACAGTATTCGGTTGATGTGATGATGATGATGATTCTTGTATTACGGCAATATTAACTTTTGTTGTCATCTTTGCTCCATTTGTTTTAGTATAAACTTCCTTCTGTCTTAATTCGATCTTTTTCATAAAAACTACTGTCTTAATAGACGGTTATCTAATCTTTATTCACATCATGTCGAAACAAAATTAGCTCAATTCTCATTTATTTAGAATCCTAATAGCACAAGTTATTCTCGTTTTCTCGGAAATTGGTGTAATTATGTAATACTTATAATTGTTATTATCCTACCATTAAACATTTATAACAATATACTTAAAAACACTACTTGAGATAAGTAATGGTTACATATTAAATTTGACAAACTGTGTTTATTAAAAAAAAATATTTGAGTTTAAATTATGGCGAATGAAGTAACATATTACATTCTGCTATATATAATATTTGCTATATTTTCATTTACTAATTGTCTATTAATAATCTTACCTATACAGTTTCTAGGTCCAGCACTAAAAGGTATGTAAGCGTACGGATGTCTACCAACACTGTTCTCAGGTAAAAATCGATCAGGATCAAAAGTCAAAGCATTTTTATACAAATCTTCACGACGATGCAGATCAAATATATGAATTAGACACTCTGTATCAGCTGGAATCGTGTAATTGCCTGTAATAAAATTTAATACAATAATAAAATTGAATACTTTCTAACATTAAAAAGCATCGTTGGAGGCATAACACCTTAATTTTCAGAAATGGCAACGCACGAAGGGTATCAATCTATAGGCAACGGTTACACATTTTCATCAGATGGGCTTTTAGCTTATTTGCGAATAACAAAGTTAAATAGAAAATCAGAAATAGTGCAGTAAATTACTGTTGTAGGATTTCTAACGAAATGCTGCAGCAAAGAAAAAAATATATTTTAAATGTACCAACTCTAGACTAATAATACTTCTACTTCCTAACAAATTAGTCTGTTATAGTCTGTGCTAATGATATTTAATATTATAGTATTACTTACTTAATTTTATCTGATCATTCAAAATTCTTGCTACAAAGTGAATTGGGGGATAAAGCCTTAGAGACTCTTTAATACAAAGTTCCAAGTATTTCATTTGAGTCAAATCACTAGTGGTAGCTATTCTTGTAGAATCGCCGAATATGCTCTGTATTTCTTTATATACTTTTTCCTGAAAATATTAATAAATGATAGTAGCTATATCAACGTCCCACCCCCGTCCAATCTACCATTATAAATGGCACATGAAGATCTTTACCTGTACATCTTGATGATTTGCTAGTAACAGGAACAAAAATGAAAGCCCAGATGCTGTTGTATCATGACCCTAAAATATATACAATATATTTTTTATTGTCGAAGATTAAGTTTTAATAGTTAGTCCCCAAAATACATTTTAATATTTAAATCACATTCACAAATAATCAGCTATGTATTTTAAACCACAAAATTAATATAGGATGTAATAATCTTGTCGTCTGCTACAATAACTATCATTTCAAAATTGCCAACGTAATTGCGTCAGATGGTAATAATAGAAAAATATATATAAAAAAAATTAAGACGTCTTTTTAAAACGTTTAAATATTTAAAGCTAACTAAAATCTCAAATGTAACATACCCCAAACATGAACGTATCAACTTCTTCTTGTACTCCACTTTTGTCAATTTTTCCATCATTTTCTGCAGTTAGCAGTAAATCAAGAAATGCAAATTTCTTTCTTCCCTTATAAACATCATCCTCATCTTGTTTTGTTGGATTACTAGTTAATACATTTTGCTCTAAGTATTTTTTGCGTTTGTCAATAATATCAGTTGTGAATTTTTTTATTACATCTATAGTCCTTTGTTGCTGAATCTTCAATGACGATAAATTATATATAAACTCGATTAACAAATACAACTTGATGAAACGTTGTATAAATAGATTGCCGAGGGTATGTAATGCATTCTTATAAGACATCGCTGCAGCTGAAGTTTCATCTGATAATTTCGTACCCATTGCTGTTTCTATATAAAGTAAAACATGATTTAGTATTAAATTATCTATACAAGAAAGTATTTTAACCCGCTCTTTTTCCCTCTTTTCGTCCCTTTATATTTCTATTTGACACATACATAAATTCTCAGATAAGACTAACTTACAAGTTAGTCTAGATCTCTATCGGTAGCTGGTTTCTTCTAAATTCGCACTGAATATTTGCTTCATTAAACCCAATTATTCACCTAACATTTATTTCCCACATTGATATTCCGTATAGACTCAGTATGCTCTTTCTTATTCCATACTTCTAAAATCTTATCTTAATAATTTATTAAGATTGTAACTAGACGATGTCTGTGCATAGGAGGCAAATAAAGAAAATTAATTAACGTAATAATAAAAACAAAGATTTTTATAAATTTTGGTCTGTTTGTCTTTCTGTACCTTTGTTTCGTCATATGCTTTTCTCAGTTTCGTTTCTAAAAATCTAACTTAATATCTATGTATGTTTTATCCTGGTACGTCACCTAGGAGTGGTTTGTTTAATTGATATTCCTATTTCTGAAATTCACGCATACGAAATAAGAGTAGCGGACTAAAAGCTGGTAGTTTCCAATCCTTCAATAACCTTTCTAATATCAAATATATGAATAACTGATGTTATGATAATACGAGAAACCCTTATTATCTACCTTCTAATTATTCATTCCTTACTTCCTATTCCTTCCTTATATTACTACATTTACTCATCATCTTCCTGCTCTTATCCTAATTATTATTTGGACTCAGAGTAATAGGTTTTTCTCTTTCATTCTTCTCTATTTACAGTCATTTCCACATTCAATTCCACTCTGGCCGTATCATCATATTTTTTTTTATACAACTTAGAATGGCAAACAAGCTGACGGCCCACCTGATGGAAAGTAGTAACCGTCGTCTATAGACATGAGCAATACCATGGACACAGAGTATACAACAGTACCATGGACACACAGATAACAGAGTATACTGTTTCGCCCATGATACCCCCCATGCGTTGTCACTCCTGAGGACTCAGGTGTTATTCCTATGTACCCTGTAAACTCACGCCATATCCCACCCTTCAAACCAAAACACAGCTATACGAACACAACTGCTTCACGGTTGAAACACGAATGGAACAGAGGTACCCAAGCAATCGACTTTTGTCAAAGTCTCCCTCTGGTAAACTGGTACTGTAGTAACTACATTTACTCTTACCACAAATAGTGTTAAGCGTATATTCGGTGACAATGGGCGCAATATTAACAATTTCCCCTGAAGTTCCCAAAGTTTCTGTCAATCGTTTGCTATTCTCCTCTATGACAGTATGGAATTGGCGGAGAATATCAAAGTGGAAAGCAGACGTCAGGATCTTTCTGCGTTGTTGCCATTTTGCCCCTGAAAATGATTAGCTGCTATCAACAGAGAAGTTGTAAAGCTATTTGTCTCAGTACAAGCCTGTAATGTACATATAGATGTGAATAGTTAATTTTCAATATATAAATTTTCACTGTGTGGTCCCGGCATAGAATGAGATATTCCTTCCTTTCTCGTGGATGTCGTAGCGACTAAGAGACATGAATAGACGAGGGTCAGGCAGCAGCGTTCCTCTTAAAACACCACCAAAGCCAAACTGCGTTTGCCAACCTGCTAAGCGTGGTAACTACTATCCGAACCCCCTTTAAGCTTATATTCATCTGCAGAGAGATAACGGCTGATATGATGATATGCATATATATATATATATATATATATATATATATATATATATATATATATATATATATATATATATAGCGAATAATGTAAAAAAGTATTATAAAGACCTAAAAACAAATTATTGTGAAAGAAGATAAAAGAGAATGGAAGAGAAAATCCTCAAATAGATTAGGAGCAAGAGAAAAATCGTAAATTAATATTAATGTATGATATATGACATCACCTTTTCATAAAATTTTGAAATTATAAACATACCACTGCTGAGAAGCAATCCATCTGCCAACCAAGGCTTAATGATGTCATACAAACGAGATTTCTTTATAAATTTAGTACTAGATAATACAATCTGTAAAAAAAATACATAAATAGATACAAGTTTTTGCAATGTATCCTTAGAAATACATACAAATATTCATACTTGTTTTGTTTTTGTATTCTAGTAAAAGGTTTTCCACATGAAATTCTCAAATTCTTTATTTGCATAATAATGAGAGTTTACACTAGAAACAATTTTTTTTCCACAAACTTACTTAACTAGCTATGCCAGCGACTTCGTTTGCGTGTATAAAGATCTTGCATCGCATTGATTTTGTACCTACAGCACTTGACTTTACTTGTTTTTACCTGACAATAAATGCAATTTTTTAAACTTTCTATAGCCTGTAAATTGATCCGTATTTGCTATAAATTGTATTGTAAAAATTACGTCACAATAAGTTCTGCCATTTTTTGTTGTAGCAAAAAAAAGCAAAAGATTGTATTATAAATTTAATTTACATTATTGTATGTTCGTTTATATAAATTTTAAAATTATCTAGGGACCTTGGCACCAATTTAGATCTCAATTCTTTTGACGGCGAAGTCGACAACCACGCATATTCTTAATGTTAAACTTGGCTCCTTTTTCACATTTATATTTTTGAAGGATTAGCTCTTTTCTTGAAGATTGTTATAGACTATTTAACGTCATAATACGAACTCAAATAATACGAGCTAAATCTAGTATTGGATAAAAATTAATTACATTGTATTTTAAGATACCAGTACTAGCTTTTACCCGCAACTTCGTCCACGCGAACGGAATATATTCAAACTTATCTGATTAAAAAGTTTATTTTTTAATGGATGATAATGGAATGGCAACTCCACTCGCACTATCGGTATACACCGGCGGGGCACCAGTGAATAATGATAGGTGAGGATGAAGCAGGTCAGTTAGCCCATCGTGACGAATTAAATAAGAATTTTTCACGATGGTTTCCCGGGGGAACCACGTGGAGGTCGACTTAATAGAGCATATTACTAGCAATAGGGCTATCAAACTCCATTGCTAACAATCCCTTTCCCCCTTGATTAAAAAGTAGCCTATGTCCTTCTCCATTTCTTATCTAATACTTGTATACTTAATTTCATAGTGATTGATTACGTTGATAAGGCGCCAAGGGTAAGCTTTGTTTATAAGAGTATTAAGGAATAATGCACATCTTACCTCAATATCTTCCGGGTTGTAAATATTTATATATCTGAACGGGTATGTGTAAAATCTATATATTCCATTGAACCGTTTAGATAGTGAAGTTCTCCATTCAAAGATTTTATCTGTAAATTCAAATATCCAAAATAATTTTGTCAATCAAAACAACAATCTGTAAATTAACTGGTAGAGAACGCTACTAGCATTATGTCCGCCTTTTGTACGATATTTTCTTTTGGTCAATAAAATTATTAAAATAAATACATTTTTATTACTTCATTATTGTAGTGTATCGACTTTATTTTTGTTATAATACTTGATGAATTATATAATATTATATATAGAATTATATAATATTATATATAATATATAGTATTTCGTGACTTCATCTGCACCAATCAGTATTCTATGTGCTTAGTTAGGATATAACCTACCAGTGTAGATAGATAGATAATTTATTTTTTTAGTTAATTTGCATTATTTACAGCACACAAATAACAATACAAACATACACATAATACCGACATACACTGTCAAAAAAAAAGATAAAAGAGTGAAAAACAAAAAAGGAAAATATATAGAACAACAATTTCCATCTTTCATGCTTTTACCATAGTAATTTGTGTCATACCAAATTTCATTCAAATTTGGCTAGTATTATAAGTGGTAGTATTTTGTGAAAGTGTAACATACTATCCATCCATTCAGCCATCCATACAAATTTTCCCATTTATAATATTAATAGAGTTAACAGTTGGATATGGTTGGATGAAATTTAATTAATATTTTTTTATACATTTCAAAGTGTATTTCACTTTAAAATGACAAGTTGACTTCTCACATATTGGAAAATGGTAACCAGAGCCTGCAAAAACTGCAGCTATAATATATTATTTATTTATTTGTTTGTTTATTTATTTATTTAACTCTTTATTGGACCAAAAACATAGAAATAAACAATGACAATTGAACATTTCAAGTGAAATACAATAACATAAAATACAGATTAAAATATATACATAAAGGTACAAAAGGCGGTCGTATCGCTACTCTATCTCTAGTATCTCTTATAGACAATCTTTGGTTAAAGGAAAACAGACAAAAGTGAGTGGGTAGGTGGCGCAAGAGTGAATTAATAATTAATACGTTCACAATGGTAACACTCTTTATCAGGAGGGCTATCAGTTTCTAAGATGTTTATCATCAGCTTTAGTCTTTTAACAGGAGAATGTTAAATCATTCTATAATAATACTAGGTGTTTCTCGCGGCGTTGTGCATATGTACGAGTATCACTACAAAAGTATCCTACGTGTTAAGTTAGGATATATCAATATATACTAATATTAAATTTTAAACTAAACTATTCAATCCCTTAACTGTAAATGAGTAATAAAGATACAAAGAAATATACATAACAAATTTTTACATTTTATCTGCATGATTTTTTTTTAATGGGTGAAAATGGTATGGTAACCCCGCCTGCACTTACGGATTACGCTGGCGGAGAACCAGTGAAGGGTGATAGATGAGAATGAAAATAGGCCAGTTAACCCATCATGATTAATTCATCAGGAATTAACCATGATAGTTTCCAGGAAGAAGGAGGTCGACCTGGTTAGGTATATTGCTAGCAATGGGATTCTCAGTCTTCATTACTAACAGTCCCTTTCCCCCCAAACCTGCGTGAATATTGCATATGTTACATCTCCATATGCATTTAAAAATGATAGAATTTTCATCATGCCTCCGATCAAACTGTTTATAATTACTCCTCTCCATCCAAAGATAGCCTACAAGAGATCACTTTTAGCGATAAAGCCACCCATGTTTTCTCAGTTTCTGATTATTTCTTGTAATTGCTTGTATGTTTACTTTTGTAATCTTTTGGAGGAAACGATAGGAAGTATATATCTTTAATCTATATGCAAAGTTAGGATGTTACCTATCTATGTACTAAATCAGTTTAGTAGTTTTCCAGGCTCACAAGTGGTATCGAACCCTTAAGTCTTAGGAGAGATTTTGTCTCACTCTGCGTGTTCTACCGCCTGTACAATGGATTGTGCTCAGAGGAATTATTCAATACGATGCCCACAGCCACTTTCTACCATCGTACGGCTCGCCATCGACAGGGAGTTAATCTTCATGTCCTACAGCCTCAATGGTCGCATACTGCGCGGTTACAGAGATGTTTCCTCCCACGAACACTCAGGTTGTAGAATGAGCTCCCTGCCGAGGTTTTTCCAAGAGACTACAGCATGGCTTCTCCAGGGGGGGGGTAAAGAGGTTTCTTCAGGGTCGGCAACGCGCGTGTAATTCCTCTGGTATTGCAGGTGTCCATAGGCTACGGTAACCGCGTACCATCAGGTGGGCCGTATGCTTGTTTGCCACCTCAGTGGTATAAAAAACATGTTTTTTCACGAAAGAGTAACGAATATCTATTAATACATCTTCGCAAACTTTATGATAATATTTTTGTATATTGTACTCGCTTTTACCCGTGACTTCGTAAGCATGACCGAGATAAAGTTTCGTAGTGATTAATTAAGCCAATAAAGCGGTACTGAGAATCCTATTGCTAGCAATATATCCAACCAGGTCGACCTCCTCGCAGTTCTCCCTGGAAACTATCATGGTTAATTCCTGATGAATTCATAATGATGGGCTAACTGGCCTGTTTTCATTCTCATCTATCACCCTTCACTGGTGCTCCGCCAGTGTATCCCGTTAGCGCAGGCGGGGTTACCATACCATTTTCACACATCAAAAAAAAAATAAGGCGGTATAAGGTAATAAACAAACTCACTTTCACACTCATAATATTAGTAAGATTAGTAAGATTACCTGGATGCACACAAATCATTTCCAATGCGTTCCCAATCAGGAACCTGTCCTTCATCCCGGGTACCTTCATGAACACCCTGGCGTCCTCATGATAGTTGATATATAGATGCAAAAGCACCAACGACAAAACAATTATCAGTAATATGTAAAACATAATTAGAATATCTGGTAAAGTGATCGTATATAAGAGAAAGCCTATTACTAATAATATACCCTATCAGGTCGACCTCCACGTGGTTCACCCTGTAAATTATTATGGTTAGTTCTTGTTAAATTTGTCACGATACATTATGAAAAATAACGGCAAAATATCGACCAAAAATACTTTTTATCCAAGTAAGTTCCGAGACATTTTTTTATTTTATTCTTTAATTAAATTTTATTATAATATAGATTTTTTACATAGTTCGTAACTGGTACTCCGTCAGTCTACACTGATAGCGTAAGCGGAGTTACTATTCCATTTTCATCCGTTAAAAAAAAAACTAATTGTACAGGGTTAACGGTAATAAATATATATTTATTTAGTCATACTAATTATAAAATTAAATATCACATAAATTATTTTCAAAATTTGACTAGATTTCTAGAGAAATATAATCGAATTTTTAAAATAATGTTTTGAGTCTTCTAGATTAAATTAAAAATATTTTAACATAACTTTCACCCGCGACTTCGTCTACACGATCGAAATATGCTAATGGTCAATCATAGTATTAAATTGACGAATGATTACAAACAAACAAACTCACTATCATATTTATAATATTAAGTCATTTTTAAATCCATCTGTGTATATTTTCTTTATAACCTGATATCTATATTGAAAATGGATATACAAAAGCATTTAAATAATAAATAAATATTAATAAGGATAAGTTTTTCCCGCGACTTTGACGGCTTAACTGAGACAAATATTAATAGAAATTATATAAATGATAATATAGTAGAGAACACCGTCCGATGTCCGCAAAATGTACATAGAACTTTCGCAGTTTCAAGAAATATTTCCTCCCACGAACGCTCAGGTTAAGGAATGAGCTCCCTGTTGAGGTTTTTCCAAGAGACAGCATGGAGTTCCTCAAAAAAGGGATAATGAAGTTTTACAGAGTCAGTAACGCGTACATATTGCCTCTGATATTGCAACCGTTTATAGACTACGATAACTGCTTTTCATCAGGTGGGCCGTATGCTTGTTTGCGACCTCATTGATATAAAGAAAAAGCATTTTCACTGTGAATTAAAGATTAAATACATAAATAAATATATCGATTGACCGGCAGTAGTCGATGTTTTTCCAAAAATAATGCGTTTAGGTATACCAAATTACGACGATTTTAATTTTTTTGAGCTACTAAAACACCAGCAGGGAACAAACCAACACACTTTCACATTTATTGTATTAGTAAGGACTAGTAAGGATTTACGTTACTTTCCAAAAACAAATTACTGTCCTTTGTTAATAGGTATTACACAGATAGTTACTAATTTGCAATTTTTGCGTAAGCTTTTAATACAGGTCAATCCCCACTTCTGACGTAAAATCGAAGTCTAGGTGGGGATACCCTTTCTATTACATTATCCATTATGCTGTATACTTTTTTATTTGAGTTTTGGCTTACCAAGAGTGTGGCCATCTTAAAATTACATACTCTCCCTGATTTTAATTAAAAATCTACCAAATTCTACCAAGCCCTTTTAAACAAATAGTTGAATTATTGGTAGTTTTGTTTATTTTAATAATTTAATGATTTAGACGGTATCTGTATATAAGAGATATAAAAGAAGAAATATAGAGTAGTATAAAACAAAAGAATATATATATATTTTTTTTGTCTATGCGTCTATGTTTTTATATTTGTTTCGGTATCACGCAAAAACTAATATATCAAATTGGATACAGTTTTTACAGTAATATTTCATAAAGATTGAACTTAAAGATAGGTTTTATCTTAATATACTGCCTAAAAATCACCATCTAGAAATGATATCTTTCATTGATTGTATTGTATTGTAAAATCTTTATTGTACATAACTCAGATTAAACACTGGTAAATGATTTAATATACAATGGCGGATTTATCTCATAAAGGGATCTCTTACAGTCAACCTTTGAGAAGCTGAAAGAAAACTGTAGAATGTATAAGGGTAATAACCGTACAATTAAAGATAAACTAAATAATACCCAGTAAAAAAAAATGTAATATATAACACAATAAAAACAGCTCTATATACCTACATATGTAAATAATAAAAGTACATGAATAATAATATAACATTAATACATAAATAAATAAAAACTTACACACATACACATATACATACATACATACACATACATATATACATAACAAATACATATATTTACAATTGATCTTTTTCTTTGATTGATTTTCTACTTTTGAAATTCACGCTTACAAAGTTTGGGATTAAAGCTAATAATAAATAAATACTAATAAATACACTTGTATTTATTACTATTTATTTATTTTCGCCGCGTAAGAATCTTAATAGGCGACTAAGGGAAAGCGAGAAATGAGCAGCAGCGTCCCTCTCTAAAAGCTTAATTACGGTTGCCAACCCGCCAGTCAAGCGTGGCAACTACTGGCAAAACTTTCCTTATGGGGAAGGCTTATGTCCAGTGGCCAATTAACGACTGAAATAATAACACTTGTATTTCCTATCTTACTCAACTGCCATAGTAAATAGGATAATATTATCAGCGAAATATAACAATTTACATTGAATCTTCGCACTGTACTCGTAATTGTAATATTAGTTTATGAAATAAAATCATTACCAAATTCATTTGAATATAAATTTGTTTGTTTGTTATCTTTTGCCGAATAACTCGATCAATTGACATGAAATTTGGCATATACATACTATTTGGGAATAAAATGGACATATGGTATTTTTTTCCTCACCACGTAAACGAATGGTAAAAGCTTGGATATAAATAGCATAGTGCGTGAATCCCAATCATCATCATCATCTTCCTACCCTTATTCCAATCATTTGGGGTCGGCGTAATATGATTTTATTCATATTACAAAAAGATTTGGTTTTTAGTTTTACGACCGGCCACCTGCCTGACGTCAACCCTCTTGAATCCCAATATCTTTGGCAAAATAATATTTTGTTCACCGCTAAATATGGTAACAATAATATATTTTATACTGGCAATATTATAAATTGCTACGTATGAGGTACCTGACTTTGACCTTCGTAATACACGACATTGCCACAAGACTAAGAAATTTATTAAAATTTTATGTGTGATTTATTTAAATGCATTTTTTTCATAATTGTCGATTATATGATTCTTCAGTTTGTTGCATAGAAAGCCAGATGTAGATTCGTATTACTTTGAAAATCATTGTATGGTCCCGGCATAGAATAGACCACCTTTTACTTTCCCCTGGGTGTCGTAAAAGGTGACTAAGGGAATTTAATAGTCGAAGGATCGGTAGCAGCGTCCCTCTTAAAACATCACCAAAGGTTAGGTAACTGTGGTTCCCAACCCTCCTGCTAAGCATGGCGACTACTTGCAAAACCCTTTATTATGAAGAAGGCCTACGTTCAGCTGTTGACACTTAACAACTGATATCATCATCATGATTGAATCCAGAATACTAGGGATTACATGAAGTTCCGCACAACTCACCATCGACGGGGAATTCATACTCAGACGCTTGAAACTAAATGATCGAGTACAGGGCAGTTTAAAAGGAGTTTTCTTCCGCCAACCCTCAGGTTGTAGAATGAGTCGACCTACCAAGATTTAAAATAAAATGATATCCCCACCTGCGACATTGGCAGACGCTGGCAGGGCACCAATGAGAGATCATAGGTGAATATGAAACAGGTTAATTGACCCACCATGATTAATCCATTAAAAAACATACTGGTGGAGGTCAACTTGATAGGGTATTTTTCAAAGTTTACAAATTTTCTTTTTTTCATTTATTCTTTATTGATTACATTACACAGAAGTGTTTAGTATAAAAGGCTGGCTTAATGCTATATAGCATTCTCTCCAAATCAACCTTTGGCAAAATAGAAATATAATTTTGTGGTGAAAAATTAAAAATTGTAGATAAACAGTTACAGAAGTATCCATATTACTTTTTACCTAATTTAATACATTTGATAGGCACCTATTTCCCGTAATATTTAATTAAATAAAAACAATATTTCATTTATGTTTTTTTTTTAATAAAATTTAGAATGGCAAACAAGCTGACGGCCCACCTGATGGAAAGTGGTAACCGTCGCCTATACACATGAGCAGTACCATGGACATAACAGAGTATACTGTTTCGCCCATGATACCCCCCATGCGTTGCCATTCCTGAGGACTGAGGTGTTATTCCTCTGTACCCTGTAAATTCACGCCATATCCCACCCTTCAAATCGAAACACAGCCAAGCAAACACAACCGCTTCACGGTTGAAACACGAATGGGACAGAGGTACCCAAGCAATCGAATTTTGTACAAAGTCTCCCTCTGGTTACTTTGTTTATAATTTGTAATCAAATCAATATTACCTGATAACATGAAATAATTACGTAAAATTATTAAAAAAAATAGTAATTTAAACAAAATAGTAGATAAATATTGGGATATTCCATGTGATAAAGTGTAAACGGAGATATAATATTATCTTTATAAACATAGAGGTCTGTTAGACTCAATTTGTTCAAGACAATTTATCTATTATATGCTAATTATGTTGTTTTGTTTACAAAAATATTAAAAAAAAAATGTATCCGTATACGTACATTTATATCATATCTTATTTTTTATGCATCACACAATGGTAAACAAGTTGACAGCCTATTTCATTGTAGTATTTTCTAGTAGCTAGCAAATGTTTTTAAATAACAATAATGATACGGTAAGACACTGCCTACGCTATCAGTTTATGTCAATACTGGACATTTTTTAATAGATGATAATGGAATGGTAAGCTGCGCCTGCTAACGGTATACGTTGCCGGGACCCCAGCGAGGGATGGTTGGTGAGAATGAAAAGGCAGATCAGTTAGCCCATCCAGTTTCCAGAGGGAACCGCGTAGAGGTCGAGCTAATAGGGTATATTGCAAGCAATGGGGCTGTTAGATCTCCAATACTAACAATCCATTTTCCCCGGAAATTTCATATTAGATATCATTGTTGATTGATCATTGTTAATTGAACCATGAAGTAACAGATATATGAATTCACTCGTTTTCCTGTTTCAGCCTGTTGTTGTTATTTTAATATTTCAATGAGTTTTATCTTGTATCCGGTATTTGTTTATATAATTCCTCAAATAGGCTCCATATCAAATCCTTTTTCTTTACTGTTCTACATAATACTAGACTACCTACTTTATTTGCCCCTACTGCTACCTACTGGGTCTATTTATTCATTTATTTATTTATTCATTAGTACAAATATGTGTACATGGCGTACTTAATGCTAAAAGCATTCTCTCCCAGTCAACCATAGGGAAGTGTCAGAATACTCGAATGCGGTACTAGAAATTATTGATATACATACATACTACAATTGCATATATAAACGAATAAATATACTTACACATATATGATATATACTATATTATACACGAAATTGAGAATAATATAAAGCACTTAGATTAATGACTGAGACAATGTTTGGGTAGTAGTAGATTCTAGCCTCGGAAATATTTTATTACATACATACATACATATATATCTGTCACACCTGTCTCCCATTAGGGTAGGCAGAAACAATGGAACGCCAAATGCTTCGATTCAAACAAACTGCTTTCGCTTCTTACACATTCATCCATCTTTTCATACACGCACGTCGGTTACTAGTACTTTTAATTTGGCCCTTCTTCAGCACGTCGCCTAATCTTCTGTGTAATGTTGTCCATTGTATGTGTTATATAATTTGTAAGTCAATATGTATACGTTTGTTATTGTTTATCTGAAAAAATTCGGTAATTGAAAAATTTCGGATAATATTTCTGAAATATATATGTTGTAAATGATAGTCGTAGTAATAAGCAACTGTTTTGATTTTTATATTTATTGTAGTAATACATAGACATGATTTTATATTTTATAAAGTTACTATTTACATAATACGTATGATTGTTAAAAATAATGGTAAAAACGCCATTAAGTGCGAGTCAAATTCCTTAAAGTTGCAAAGTAAAAAAATATACATTTGACAATAATTAAAAAGAAAATATATAGCGAACCAACACTAGAAGGATTTTTTATTATTTTTATATTTTTCTTTTGATAATCTTCATATAAATTGGATCAATAGATCGAAGAATTATATCGCCAACAAACCTAATGTCTTCTGGTTTGGTTATTGCTTCAAGTTTGTAACGTCGAATAACCGCTGATGCTGCAGATTTCATTTCCATTATTGCAAACCTTTTACCTGGAAATAATGATTTTTGCAACATAATAAAAGTAAATAATCATAATTTCTGTGTACGGTCGACTAGTAGATAACGCCACGTGGTTTTAAGTCCGCCATTTTCATTTTCTAGATGTTTTAAATTTTAATAAAAAAAATAAATAAAAAAAAATCCGCAAAAAGAACTATATTATTAAAATATAAAAAAATATTCAGAAAACAAACGTTTTAAAAATTATTACGAGTGCATTGGAATAGAGATTGTACCTCAGACATACATTACATAAATTATCATAAAGCATCCATCCAAATTGGAAAATTGGGCAATAAATGAGATTGGCAGAAACTTTACAATTTCATAAGCAGGGGGACTGTGTTTGAAAGGGCGAAATATGACAGTAAAATTATAGGCTACAAAAGCTTAATATCATAGTCCTCAAGAATGCCAATGTATGAGAGATACCATAGACATCACACCGTATTCTGTAACATTTACAGTGCTGTTCATGTCTATAGTTACCTTTTATTCGCGTATGGGGTCATATTCCCATGTACCATTATCTTTATTATATTTATACTATTTAACCTTTATCGGTATTTCAACTTACCTATACAATTTCTAGGTCCAGCACTGAAAGGTATGTAAGCGTATGGATGTCTACCAACACTGTTTTCAGGTAAAAATCGATCAGGATCAAATGTTAAAGCATTTTTAAATAAGTCTTCACGGCGATGTAGGTCAAATATGAGAATTAAACACTCAGTTCCAGCTGGGATATTGTAATTACCTGAAAAATACATGTATAACTAGTATTTATCCGCGGCTTCATCCGCTGACCTGGCTTATATATTTTTTTTATACAACTTAGAATGGCAAACAAGCTGACGGCCCACCTGATGAAAAGTGGTAACCGTCGCCTATAGACATGAGCAGTACCATGGACATAACAGAGTATACTGTTTCGCCCATGATGGGGTATCATGCGTTGCCATTCCTGAGAACTCAGGTGTTATTCCTCTGTACCCAGTAAATTCATGCCATATCCCACCCTTCAAACCGAAACACAGCCATGCAAACACAACTGCTTCACGGTTGAAACACGAATGGGACAAAGATGCCCAAGCAATCGACTTTTGTACAAAGTCTCCCTCTGGTATGTTTACTGATCTGAATAAAAATTGTCCATATTCTTCTTCACTCCATATTGTACATGTATACTGAATTTTACAGTGATTGGTGAAGCAGTAAAAGCGCTATAAGGTAAATAATCTCACTTTCACATTTATAACATTAAAAAGCGTTTAAACTTCATAAATAGGACGAGGTGAAAATGTAAGGATAGAATAGGGGAACGAGTATAACGAGCAAATCGACACCACCTCATGTTTGTGACATACATAATTACATCATTTACTCAGCCGTCAATCCTGTACGGATGCTATCACCTGTGTATAACATCCCATTTAAATTTTGAATATACATAATGAACAAACTTTACGCACAATCCATTTTGAAAGGAAGGATTAAAGTGCCGACCTAAATGTGAGCAATACTGAAAATACTGTACCGCTATGCTACTGTGTGGTTCCTGTATAGAATGGGCCATCCCTTCCTTTCTTGTGGATGTCGTAAGAGACGATTCATGGAAGTAAATGTTCGAGGAATGGACAGCAGCGTTTCTCTTTAAATATCACTAAAGACTAACTGGGTTGCCGACCCGCCTGCCAAGCGTGGAAACTGCTGGCAACACAGGCGGTATTGCCAGTAGTTGTAGTAGGGAGAATCCTATGTTCAGCAATGGGCAGTGAATAGCTGATCTAATAATAATAAAAGTGAATATTGTAAATTATCCAACACGTACTTAACTTTACCGGTTCGTTTAACGTTCTTGCCATAAAGTGAACTGGTGGATAAAGTCTTAAAGTCTCTTTTATACAAAGTTCCAAGTATTTCATTTGAGCCAGGTCATCAATAGTAGCTTGTCTTGTAGAATCACCAAAGATGCTATTCATTTCTTGATAAACTTTTTCCTGTGAATGCATTGATGATAGTCTATCGTAATGAAACGGGTATAAACATGAAAGCTTTTTATACAATTTATAATGGCATACCAACTGACGGTTCGCTTGATAGAAAGTGGTAACAATCACCTATAGCCACGAATACTAGTATGGACATCACAGAATATACTGTAATCCCCATAATACTCTCCAAATATTGGTATTTCTGAAGACTAGGGTATTATGCCTCCATTCCTTGTAATTTCACAAATCTCACTCTTCAAACCAAAATACAGTCATGCCAGCACAGCTGTTTCATGGCAGAAAAATGAAAGGGACAGTGGCACCACAGCAGACGATTTTCGTAAGTCTCCCTCTAGTAGTTAGTTACAATTACCTGTATATCTTTATGGTTTGCAAGCATCAGAAGTAGAAATGTAATCCCAGATGCTGTTGTGTCGTGGCCCTAGAAGAAACAAAACATTTACTCATGCAGATTGAAAATCTATCAAAAGTTTCTTTCTATAGTTTATATTTCTTCTATTATCATCATATAATAATTATACAATAGTAATGCTATTTTATAATAATGAGTGATCACTTGACTTGATGTTATCTTTAACTATATTACTGCCTTTTACTTCAAAAATGTGGATTTAAGAAGTAGAAGAACCAATTAAGTTGACCACTTCTAAATAATATATCAAGTTTTTTTATGCAACTTAGAATGGCAAAAAAGGTGACTGCCCACCTGATGGCAAGTAGTAACCGTCGCCTATAGACATGGCAGTACCGTGGAGATAACAAGTATTATATATTATTATTGTTTCGCCCATGATACTCCCCATACTTTACCATTCCTGAAAAATCAGGAATGGCAATAAAGATAAAACGTCCACCCATTTTAAGTCTAACTTCCAGGAATACAGCAGTGGAAACTATATCCAATTTAGTGCAATATTCTTTGCGTGATATCAAAAACAATGTACCGACAAACAGACATATAAAATTTCTAAAAAATATTATTTTGACATTAGTCTTACGAAGACTCCCCGTGATATTATTTCTTAAATATCTTCCATGCACAAACATCTTCTAGTCACAATTATATTATTATATATAAAATAATATAATATTATATTAGCTTTTACCGGCAACTTCGTCCGTGTGATCAAAATATTTTCATTAACTGGCATAAAAAGTAACCTATATTATTCTTCATCTTATATACGAATAGTAGATGTATATCAAATTTTATACGCTAAGATGTAACGAACAGAAATTCATGTTTATTTTATTATTGAGGATAAATGTGTTAACATCGTTTTAGCATATTCTGCTGTCCTTTTCTTTATTTTGATTTATTGTAATATATATTTATTGTATATTTCATATCTATAAGCAGCCGTTATCACTTTCCCTGAGATCGTCAGCTTATTTACTATTTCAAATATTATAAAAATAAATTTGATCTAATCATTTAATAACAAAACCTTCAGACTACAACAGTTATTATCTACAGAAACCTTCAACAAACATGATTTGATATTCCGTTCATTATTATTTTATTATCAATTAAATACTTGTAAACTAACCAATCAGATTGAGTTAAAAGTATTCAAATTAGTCTGCATTATTTATCAAATTTTAAAATCTATTAAATCATTGTGATCATTACCGTAGCATAATTTGAAATTTTATAATATTTTGGTATTAAAGTTTCAGATATTTTTACATTGACAGGTATACACAAAACACACACACTTATACACTATACACAAAACTAGGCTTCAAAAATAGTAAATTTTGTTACCACTGTACTGTCTAAGTAAACTCAAATTTAGATTACCTCAAACATAAATGTATCAACTTCTTCTTGTATTCCGCTTCTGTCAATTTGTCCTTCATTCTCAGCGGCGAGTAATAGATCTAGGAAAGCGGCTTTCTTTCTTTTCTTATAAACACCATCTCCGTGCGGTTCTGTAGGATTAATAGCTGAACCATATTGATCTATGTATTCCTTTCTCTTATTAATAACTTCTCCTGTGAATTTTTTTACAATTTGTATAGTCTTCTCTTGTTTAAACTTCAATGACGATAAGTTAAAAACAAACTCAAGAAATAGATACGCCTTTACAAAACGTTGTGCAAACATTTCACCAAGACTGAGTACTGCATTTTTGTAAGTCTTTCCTGCAGCTGAATTTTCTCCTGACAACTTCGTTCCCATTGCTGTTTCTGTACAAAACAAAGTATTTAATCTGAGTGTAAAATTACGTTTGTAGAACTTATATACATTTAACCCTTAATTTAAATAGTAAATAAGTTATACTTCTTATAATTTATTACTGTACTAGCTATATGGCCCATGTGAATCAGTACATAAAATATCCTATGTGTTAAGTTAGTATATAGTTTATACCCGTGTACTAAATTTCATTCAAATTTATTCAGTAGTTTTTGTGTAAAAGAGTAACAAGCATCTTCCATTCATTCATCTGTCTATAATAGAATCTCACCTATCAAATTTAAAACAGCTATGCATTATTCTATCAAACTATTAAACATAGTAAATTTAAGTAAGAATTAGAACTTGTATGGGGTAAATTGTATTTATGGAAATAGAATAAATTTCTTGTATAATTGCAGAATACAATGGCGTGAATTTACTGGGTACAAAGGAATAACACCCGAGTCCTCAGGCAACGCATGGGGGGTATCATGGGCGAAATAGTGTACTCTGTTATGTCCACGGCACTGCTCATGTCTATAGGCGACGGTTACCACTTTCCATCAGGTGGACCGTCAGCTTGTTTGCCATTCTAAGTTGTATAAAAAAAAATACAATGTACTCACTAAAATAAATAGTAGGTGTGACTTACCACAAATGGTGTTGATCGTATACTCAGTGATGATGGGTTTGATATCAATAGTTTCCTTTATATTCTTTTCCAAAGTATCCGTCAATTGTTTACTGTTCTCCTCCATGGTAACATGGAACTGACGAAGAATATCAAAATGGAAGGCAGGTGTCAGGATCTTTCTTCTTTGTTGCCATTTTGCACCTAAAATTGAGCAACAACCAATTAAGTGCAAATCACAAAGTTCATATTAGAAATAACCTTACATTGAATCATTTCTTATGTATGTAAATACAATGTAATATCCGAATCATTAAATTCTTCTTTTAATAGTGGAACTAAACATCTTTCACAAAAAACACATGTCCAAAACAAAATCTATCACACTTGTCTCGTCTTGTGTTTAGCTTTCAAATTTGTATGGGAAATTCTAAATACTTTATCATCCGGTTAGTCGAAGTTTCTTTTGAAAAAGTATTCGACTCTATTGGTGCAATACTAATCATATTAAATAATTATTTTATTTATAGTCAGTATACTAAAACGTTAAATAGATTGTTGCTCTAACAAAACCTATAAGACAAATTTTGATGAAAATCTTTATAATCATAACTTAGTATTTGAATCTTTATGAGGAAGTCTTATGTTCAACAGTGGACAGTTAACAGCTAAACTAATTATAAAATAATAATTTAAATCTAAATATAGCATACTTATTATATAATTAAATAACTAATCAATTAATCAAACTGGCCAAAGACCTTCCCAAACTGCTTCCATCTCGCACGGTGCTTATAGAATCGGTCAAGATCATCTCTCCAGTATATACGAAATCTTCTACGTATTAAATAAAATGCGAAAATAAAAACATTCTTGCTGACAATGTTGATAAAAATCCTGATCTAAATTAATCTTATAAACGATTATGGATTATATACATATGAACATACCGCTGCTGAGAAGTAATCCATCTGCCAACCACGGCTTGATAATCCTATATACTATAGATTTTTCAGAAAATTTCATACCAGATAATATAGCCTGCAAAAATAATGTTTTAATTTATTTTGCATTTAGAAGTGGTAGACAAATTTACGCCCGCCCTAACTGGAAACTGGTAACCGTCGCTTATAAAATAATCATGAACAATAACGTTTCTTTTTTATACAACTTAGAATGGCAAACAAGCTGACGGCCAACCTGATGGAAAGTGGTAACCTATAGTAATCGTCGTCTATAGACACGAGCAGTACCATGGACATAACAGAGTATACTGTTTCGCCCATATTACCCCCAATGCGTTGCCATTCCTGAGGACTCAGGTGTTATTCCTCTGTACCCTGTAAATTCACGCCATGGGTATCCACAAAACATTGCATATGCCAATTAATAATGACTAGTTGGATCATTAAAGTACTAGGAGGACAAAATAAACAAACAAACTCGCTTTTACAATTATAATATGATTTGACCACGTCGATATTTGGACCTTGTGAAAAAGAGTCATTACGTCGCGACTATGACGTAGCAAGGTCAAGGATAAAGTCCGAACATTGACGCCCTCAAACCTTTATCAATATTAACAAATAAGAAAATAAATTTGATTGCGACCAATTGAAGTTTAACTGGCTCAACGAATCATTTTAGTATTTATTGTATACGTAATATTTAAAATGGATTTTTTTTAAATAATATTATGTAGTAGATAGCATCATCATCATCTCAGTCATTACTTGTCCATTGATGAATATAGGCCTCTCTCTATTGGGGTGGGAGGGGAGGGGGTTGCCAATAGTTGTTATTTTTACCAGAGGGAGACTTTGTATAAAAGTCGATTATTTGGGTACCTCTGTTCCATTTGTGTTTCAACCGTGAAGCAGTTGTGTTTGCATGGCTGTGTTTCGGTTAGAAGGGTGGGATATGACGTGAATTTACTGGGTACAGAGGAATAACACCTGAGTCCTCAGGAATGGCAACGCATGGGGGCAACGCATATCATGGGCGAAACAGTATACTCTGTCATGTCCATGGTACTGCTCTTATCTATTGGCGACGGTTACCACTTTCCATCAGGTGGACCGTCAGCTTGTTTGCCATTCTAAGTTGTATAAAAAAACAGTTGTCACGCTTGACAAGCAGATTGGCGACCGCAGTTAGATTAGTTTAAGTTTTGGTCATGTTTTGAAAAGGATGCTACTGCCCATCACCTGACCATTAAATTCCCTTAGTCACCTTTTACAACACCCACAGGAAAGGAAGGGGTGGCCTATTCTATGCCGGGACACAAAGGGCGGTAATAGATCTAATGAAGTATAAATAATTATATTATCTTACCTCCGCATCTTCCGGATTATAAATCATTATAAATTTATAAGGGTATGCGTAAAATCTGAATATTCCCTTGAACTTTTTAGCCAAAACAAATCTCAATGCAAAAAGTTTTTCTGAAAATTCAATATTATTAATATACAAAATACTATTTATATTTATATTAGTCTAATTTCCAAATGAAGAAATAGTTGTAAAATGTACTACAGGATTTGTATACTAAAGTTCCTTCGTTATTGAGGCATAACATCTTCAGTATTGCAAGCATCTACAAATCACAATGACCATTTACCAACAGGTAAACTAAATGCTTATTTTCACCATTGTATTATAAAGAAAAGAATATATAATAAAAACTAAAAAATTCTGAAAACAGTGGTACCTTATTTCTCAGGTATGACACTTTGTGAGAGAACTGTGGATATCACAGTGTGTCCTATGAGGATCACAATGTTGTTATTATAATTAGTGGAAAACCAGTAATTGTAGGCAACTTGTATTCAAAGGCTATTTAATTTTTAGCCGGCATGCAAAAGCCTTAAGTTACGAAGAGGGTTATGGAAAGGGAGTTTCTTTGGCAAACCAAAGTGACCGATATGGTCCGAATAATAAGCAAGCTGAAGTGGCAGGGAAGAAAGGTTCTTAAGTGGGGACACCGTATGGGCAAACTAAGTGTAGAATGAACTCCCACTAGATGTAGTGATAACTTCAAACGCATTGCAAGGAGTCAGTGGATGCAAGTAGCTCAGGATCGCTCCTTATGGCTGTCTATGGGGGAGGCCTATACTCAGCAGTGGACAGGTAACGACTGATATAGTTATGTTATTTTTCATTAGATACTACCAGTATTTAATATGATGATAATGTTGGTAAATCACTAATAAAATACCTGGTGCCATAAATATTTCAAAAGCATTCCCAATCAAAAATCTGTCCTTCAATCCAGGAATCTTCAGAAACTCTCTGGCCTCCTCATGGTAGTTGAAGCATAGGTGCAAAAGCACCAATGTTATCACAATAATTATTAATGATATGTATAACATATTCAGAGACATTGAAAAACTGAGCAAAAGTTACTGATTAGTACTGTTAAATACACAGCGTTATCATAAATTTATAGAGTAGTTAATATATGAAAGTTAAAAACATAAAAGACTCAATTGCTTCTAGGGTTCCTTATCCAAATAGTGAACATAATACTTGTCTTTTTTATAAATTTACCAATAAATCATTATATTAATATAATAATAAGTTTATTGCTGAGGTTTTCCTACAGACTATAGCATGAAGATCTTCAAAAAGGTTCTTTTCAAGTTTCTTTAGAAACAATGTGCATGTGACTCGCCTGGTATTACAAATTCTGCAAATCCTGGTAATGTCAAGAACTGTATTCTAAAAATGTTATGTAACTTTTATTTCTACCTAAAAGCCTTGCGATTCGTATCTAAACAGCACGCAATGGGAAATGATAATGAAATCGAACATATAGTTTGTTTAAATTATAATGCTCTACAAAAACTGGCTGGCAGAGTTCCGCCTCATACTCGTAGTTGTATACATCCTGTTTTATAAGCCAATCAGTTTATAGAATTTCTACACATAAACTCAAAATAGGATATAGAACAAAGAGAAATGGATAATACAGAAATCATTTTTTTACAATTTGCTTCTTATAAAATTTGCAAATACTTTACGTCTATTAAGGGCGACCCCTACCGACATCTCTATTCATTCTTGCTTGATAAATCTCTTTAGTAATTCTTCTTTCATCCATCTTCTCTATAATGGCCAAGCCAATGCAACAATCCTTTTTCGAGTTTTGTTACTACATCGTTTTCAGTCCACACTTCTGTCTAACAGTGTGACTGTTTCTTACTCCATCTTTTAATGTAATGCCACACATACTTCACAGTGTTTTTCTTTTCTACAGCATTATATATATATATATATATATATATATATATATATATATATATATATATATATATATATATATATAATGCTGTAGAAGGTTAACAATGACAATATCAACACCAAGTCACGACAAGCCTAAAGAGAACATAACAATAAAAATAGCATTATTTATGTTATGGCTAGGAGAATTGTAATCTCTTATGACGACATGCATCAATGGCACGCAATGACAGTTTTATCTTTATGTGCGAATTTATGATAGTAATTGTACAGTTTTCAATCGACTTTAAAAACAAAAAGGTTCTCAATTTGGTTTAATTTTTTTTTTATGTTTATTATACCGGAATTGTCAGTTATAAACAGCTTTGGAAAATTCTTTTTTATATAAAAGATATATACGAGTACTTACAGATTTGTCCCGTAGAAATTTTATCAAAATCAATTTTGTTGTTTAGTTTTTAAATCAAAATAACTCGTTTAGCGACAACCGAAGTCAGTTTATTTGTAACACGCAATCTTAAATTATTAGGTCTAAAAAAATGAAACGGATATATATATATATATATATATATATATATATATATATATATATATATATATATATATATAGATAAAAAAACTACTGTATAAGACTACTTTTTTCTAATAAAGGTTCCGTACTAATAAAACTAAACTCATAATTTTTTTAAATTTTATTTTACCTTTGTTTTGTCATTTTTTTTCTCCAACATTAAATGATAAAGAGTCTGATGATGTGTGGTAAACATCGCCTATAGACATAAAAAGCATCATGAATTTATTTACCCACATTGAAGTTTTTTTTATATAAACCTTTCTTTTTAAATATTGTTTATTCATGTATTTTGCTGAATAATTCCAGGTTATTGGCAAATTACATCGTGAAATTGCAGTCAGTCGGAGTATGCTACTACATCTGCATACGCCGAGCCTTCCTGCTTCACATCGTCAGGAGCGTGAGATTAGTATTATAATTTTTGATTTCAAGTAAATAATATTTAAAGGTAGTTCACAAATTCAAGTCAGGTTGGAGGACAGACATTTGCAACTAATCCTATGGAGAGAGGATGGGTCTGAACCTATCAGAATCTTGCAATTAAATACTCTCACTTATGATACGTGGCTTCTTGATTATTCGTTATCAGTTATTTTGTTAATTTTCAGTCTCTATAAGTTTATATTTACGTTCGCTACAAACTCTTTCTTATAATGGCAAATTTAATGAAAAGTGTCGCACATTAGTAACTTCGCAGTAACTCCTAACCTTACATCATACAGTGTCTCCACAAACTGACTTTCTCATCTTACTAATATGATACAAGTCTAGTTAGACGATGTCTTTACATGGAAGATAAAGGTAGACTTAATAAGATCAAAGCAATATTTTTTTGAAATTTTGCAGATAGACAAAATTTCTATGTTTGCCTTTGTAAATTTCTTTGTATGTTTGTTTCGACGTCACGCAAAGACTACTACACCGAATTGGATACGAATTTAAGAGTTATATTCGTAAAGGTCTTATTTAAAATTTTATGTAGGTTTTATTTTGACTCTGCTATTTTTTTTTCTTTTTTTGTCTTTATACTACTATAGTAGCAAACGAACATATGGCTCGTGTAATGGTAAACGGAGTTACCGTAGCCTATAAGCGCCTGTAACCTTTGGGATGGCACGCACGCGTTGCTGACTCTTGAGAAATCTTAATACATCCTTTTTGAAGAACCTCATACTATAGTCTCTAGGGAAAGCTTCTACAGGAAGATCTTTCCATAATCTGAGTGTTCGCAGGAGGAAGCTCTTCTGAAACCTCACTATGCACGCCCACTCTGGTTCTAAAATGTGAAGATGGATTCCCAGCCAATGATAAGCGGTACGATAATAAAAGGTGGCTATAGGTATCATTTCGAAGAGTTCTTTAAAACACAATCCGTTATACAGGCGGTAGAAAATGCAAAGAGAAGCAAAATCTCGCCTTAAATTAAGGGACTTACAACCGCCCGTTAAGCTGAAATTGTCGACAATTATCTAAAAGGATAAAAATGTAATTTATCAATTTTAGTAATTCTGTATTATAAATTCACATATTTTCAATCTAGATGGATAAAAGAGATAAAGGAAAAGGAGATCTAGAAGAAGACGGAGGAGGAGATTTAGTTGCTAGCAATAAACAGTATGTTAATTAACGATATTTATAATATAATATGTTGTAATTACGTATAATTATTATAACTTTTATTATTTATTTAATAAAATTCTCCTACAACATTTTACATTTTACATGATACTTAATCGATAATATAAAAATAACTTTATTTAATAAAAAGTCTTTTATATACGACCACTACATGCAATATAATTAACAATGATAATTATTCCGACAATAAAGAGTTCAAGAGCTTATGTTTATATTACAATATGTACATAACCTGCTTTCACTCTCACCTATCACCCCTCACTGGTGCTCTACCAATGTATATCGATAGCGTGGGCTATCGTTCTATTTTCCCCTATTAAAAAACTAGTACCTCGCCAACGCTGCCTCTAGCTGTAAGATTTGTATAGAAGGCTCAAAACTTTTTTGTCGCTTTTCCAACAACGTTTCTGTGAAGAGATTTTATAAATAGAACGCTCCATTAAAAGGATGTATGTGAGTTATCGTCATCATCATTTCAGCCATTATCCGTCCACTGCTGGACATAAGCCTCCCCCATAGACTGGTATATAAAACAGTCCTGAACCACCTGCATCCACTGACTCCCTGCAATGCACTTTAGGTCGTCGCTCTATCTAGTTGGGGATCGTCCTATACTGCGTTTGTCCGTTCGCGGTCGCCATTCAAGAACCTTTCTTCCCCATCGGTTGGTAGTTCTTCAAGCTATGTGACCAACCCATTTCCATGTAAGTTATATATATAATACATATGTAAGACGGGCTTTTTCCAAGCTGAAAAACCTGTGACATTGCGACCTTTCCATGACCTTTTGTGCTCACTCTTTTTTAAAGTTCGCTGATAATTGCTATCAATTATATGAATTTTAAGACTTTTTTATAGCGATGTTTTTTATCTTCTCAATATATAAAATGTATTTTCCAAAGGAGATGTATCTTCTATGCCTGTGTGGCTATAGCCACAAATTAAGTGCTGCGGCGTTTCTTCCTCATTGTGACAAAATCTGCACTTTTTGAGCCTAAGGCTAGTTGGACTATATGCTTGATTAGTTTGCAGTGTCCAGTAAGAGCCGTTGTTAATATATACATATTCATATACTCGTTCTATTAAATTTCTATTGTTAATAGGTAGACGATAATAAATAGCATTTATATTGAATAATATATTTATTATGTATACACAAAATATTACAATATAAAGAATTAACAAATACTAGTGTAATTTACATATATGAGAAATATGTTAAATGTAATTAAAGTGTAAGAAACATGCCAACAATGGTCAGTGACCTATATTTATGTGCGTCATAAATACGTAATTACAAATTTCGTATAGTACAATACTATATGTTGTAATTATGTATAATTATAATATATAAATAACTTTGCATACAATTATGGCACACTGGTATTGAAAAAAATTCTAAAACACATTTTCCAACCTTAAAGGGGCAGTCTTCATTTTTTGTTTTATTGTTATAGAGTCAAATGAGCAAAAGGTCAATCATAGGAAGCGACTACCATCGTTTTTGAACACTTACAATACGAGGCAAGTTACTAGTGGGTTGCCAGCCTTTTAAATGTTTGTAAGTACTTAAAAAAAAAACATATTGTATTGTAGGAGAAAAACTGCAGAAAGGAGCCCATTCCACAACCCATCGTATACGGATATGGCAGTGAATTTATAGGGTACAGAGGAATAACACCTGAGTCCTCAAAAATGGCAACGCATGGGGGATATCATGGGCGAAACAGTATAGGTACTCTGTTATGTCTATGGTACTGCTCATGTCTATAGGCGACTGTTATTACTTCCATCAGGTGAGCCTTCAGCTTGTTTGCCATTACAAGTTGCATATAAAAACTCCCAGACGAACAAGGTAGAAACAAATGAGATGTAGGCACAGTGGTTGCTACCACTAGTGGTTATTACCCAAAAATGTGAATGAACTCTAGTTTTATGGCAAGAGGTTCGGTGATAAAAAGG